ATTCGGTTCAAACAATTGGCGACGAATGGCAACTCCATGTAGCGATTCGTATTTGTTGCGCTTACTCCATGGGAAATTTATGCTTACAGTTCTTTTTAGCTTCGTCTTTATATCTCGTACGTCAGATTGTAGTTTCGATCGAGATGAGAACTTTTGCCAATCTCTCGCTCGACGAGGATAAGGATCAAGGATCGCTCACTCGGATCGTCGACTTTCCCTTGTATGAAAGTTCGAGGATCGCCCTTTTATCGAAGAGGTGCGGGGACGCGGTAGCTGCGATGGGCAGAATATATAACGAATAAACAGACAATCTATACTTATTCAAATAAACATCGAATCAGCTCAGCTTTGAAATACACTTCTGAAACCAGTGATCACGTTTCTTAAGAGCAAGTCATTGATTTACGACCGCAGTTTACGATCACTGATTACCGATCACGATCTCGACACGAGCTACAACCGCGAAATCATAAAATAATCACTGCCCAACCCTGATACATTGTCTACTTCGGCACAAGTGTAAAGCAATGCTTCCAACCGCAACTTTCATGCGACGGAAAGTCGAGAGACCGAGTGAGCCCTAGAACGACGCTGGCGGGATGGAGGCAGGTGTTTCACGTGCTCGAAGGATGCGACGGGGTGACCGGCTCCATCGTTTCGCGGCTACACGTCGGATAAGGAATCGGGCTGTGACAGAGGGTCGAATCGTCAGCCAATGTCGAAAGCACGCAAGCCACGAGCTTACAGTTTCCTCGAGAGGGACGAAAACGGAGAAAGCAGCCCCTGCGCCGCGACTTCGGGAGCGTATCTCACCCACGCAACGAGACAGCGAGAATGAAGGGACGGGGCGAGACTAAAAGCGCGAAGCCACTTCTAACTCGCGCCACTCGGATCTCGAGCGTTCACCAGGTCTCCATTGCGCATGCACACGTTCTTCTATATCGTGCACGCACACGCGACCCTTGTGCCTAGCCCCTCTGCCGCGGATCACCTCGACGCAACGTTCTTTCCTCCTCTCGAGAACAGCTTCCCTTTCAACCTTTTTACCTCTCCACCTTTTTCCGAATTTCTTCTCTTTGTATTTTCGAAGGCTTTCTCTTCCGCTACCATCGCCACTCCTCGCTGCGACGATTTTCTCTCAATCTGTTAACCAGGGAAGACGAGTTCATTCGATGTTCGTACTCGCGACTTTCTTACCTTATCTAAATCGAGCTGAGAATTCGCTGTATTTATTTTATAACGCAATAACAACGCACACGATGTACACGTATAGAATCTACGATCTAATGACAATAATGACGTCATTAGGACATCCTAGACCGCTCATTATCAAACCCAGGTCTGCGTAGGTCGGGCAACAAGGTCCGACTCGATACGATCACGTTCTACTGACAGCCTTCCCTTCTTCCTACCTCGAATAAATCCGAAGTTTGCCGATACGTTTGTCTCGTTTCCTCTTTCGAACGTTTTACAAAGAAGGAAACGAGAGTAACGCGTCGGCATACTTCACATTTATTCGAAGCCTAGTTTTTTTCCTCCTCGCGTAATTCCACGAGGGAAGGTACGAAAGTTTATTTCTTTAATTGAAAAAAAAGAATTCGTTTCCCGTCGCTAACCTTCCTCTTTCAGTAGACGTCAACGGCATATACACGTTCCTTTATTCCAAGAGAAGGTTCTCGCGTCAAAACTAAGCAGCCCGTCGTCTCTCCGACGACGCTCTTCTCCCAGGAAAGTGTCGAGACTGCGATAAAATGCTACGCTACCGGACCAATATTCCAAAAAGCTTGCAGGGGACGAAACGACGGTAGGGAGTAAAAGGGAACCGCGTGTAATTGCGTAGACCGTTGGAATACAAATTACAATACGAAATGAACATCAAACTTTACACGCGAACAATTCGTGTCTGTTATTTGCAAATGAAAAGTTGTTTGTAATTATCGACGGAGGATCGAAGGTGACAAAGGAGAGAAAATTGTTTTCCACGAAACCATAGGGACACGGGTGGATTTGAAATTCGCGGTTGCAGTTGCCTTGAAAAATGTTTACGAAGTCGAAGACTCGATATAATCTTCGTTAAGTAATCCGGGTATTGTCGAGCCACCTCTGTGCTGGTGTATAGGCGCGTATGCCCACCTATGGCACTTATGCAACTGCCAAGCAGGGTTAAAACGACCGAGGGGAAGAGTCAGCGAGTGACAGAGTGGAATATGTTGGTTCATACATAATCTACTTTAAATTGTTTGACACGAATAGAACTTGGTGACGGTAATACCGGTGGTTTCGTTCGAGCGTGAAGCCGATAGCCCCTGCTTGCCAGGACAAATATAGATATTTCCGATTCTCGCAAAACGGGAACCATTTCGTCGGAGAACGAAACAATTAATCTTTTAATAGGTATCCCCGCGATGGTTTCCGAGTGGACGCCTCATCTAGAGAACGAAATTTTTGTACGCGACTGGCGAGTATCGCAACGTTGCTATTCAGGAGCGGTTGCTTTAATTATTTTCTTTTGAAACATTAGATTCGATATATTTGTGACAGATGCATTAATTAATACATCGATAAGGGATGTACAGTGTAGATTCTGCACACAATGGAAACGTTGGGAAGTGGAACAGAGGATTGCTGCGCTGTATAGTAGAAGGGGTTGCTCTTAAGGAATAGAAGGGATGGGTTGTAGCAGACGGTGGAGTAGTTAGCCTCCAAGTGCGATACAGCTGTATTGCGGTCCTCCTGGCGAACCGTCTCGACGCATTGCGTCTAATGTGATCGAAACTAGCCCGAACTACCCCGATCCCCACACGGAACATGTCCCTTTCGTTCGATTCATTTCACATCGACGAATTCGTCGAGCACGCCGGTTTTTCAACCGAGAACGCAAAGAATTCACGATCTCTAAGAAAACAGAGCAAAAAAACCAGTAAGAAACAACTTTTTCCAATACACGCTTAAAAGTAAACTTCCTGAAACTTTATATTGATTGTTGCGCGTGTAAAGAGTATATACAAGTGGATGACCTTCCACTGAACACAGTTTCAGATGGGTCTCGCTTGCCAAAGTCCATACATCATCTTTATTACTTCATTTTCGCTTACTATTCTTTCACGTTTGTCAACAAATGCTACTGCGTCGACTTTGTTACCACTCGCAACTCCCGTGCATTCAGGGTGAGAAGAATGCACGGTCACCCACTTAAAATTCATGATATTAATTTTCTTATTTAATTCCCGATAATAGAATATAAATTGAAAACTTTGTTTATTTTTTTAATTTCCTTTCGTACGTTCTACGCGAAATCGTGATTTATGTACGTATACGGATATACAGAGTGTCCCAAAAATGTTGTAACACCTTGAAAGGGGTGGTTCGGGGGATGATTTGAAACAACTTTTTCCTTAGCGAAAATGTTGTCCGAGGCTTCGTTGAGGAGATATTAACGGAAAACGTCGACCAATCAGAGCGCGCGGATACCGATGGAGCGGCCGCGGTAGCGAAGGCTATGTGCTAAGCGGTCGCGCTCGTACGCGATCAAGTGACTCATCGCGTATCGAAGGACATTGGACGCGGCCGCCTAGCACGTAGCCTTCGCTACCGCAGCCGCTCCATCGGTATCCGCGCGCTCTGATTGGTCGACGTTTTCCGTTAATATCTCCTCAACGAAGCCTCGGACAACATTTTCGCTAAGGAAAAAGTTGTTTCAAATCACCCCTTTCAAGGTGTTACAACATTTTTGAGATACCCTGTAGAGTTGATGCATGGAGTTGAAGCACTCCGACGCATGCATACTGGATGCATGCATGCAGTATAAATGAAACGGTTCGGTACAATAGGTTTCAGTGTCGATTCTTGTGGGCTATTCTCTATGCAGCGCACCTATGGCAGAGAATACACCGACAATCAAGGGTGAAAATGTATCATGCGCTGATTGTATCGTACAACGGACACGGATAAACACGATACAATAGTAGTATCGATACGGTGAAACGTGTTCGGTGTTTCGGAAACATTTCTCATGGTCATCGATACGCAATCTCTTTGTCGTTTTAAATCTTTGTCGATATAACTACCAGCTATTTATACCATCGTTCGACTCGCCTACCGAAACAAATCTTTGTTAGGTCGAAGTCAATTTTATCTACGAAACTTTGGTTAATAACAAATGATGCCTGCTTGTCAGGACTGATTTGATACCTCTTCTACTAGATATGCTTCGACAAAATTATTGCTAAAATTATTAACAAGCTTGCAAGTATAAAAGCGCTAAAATAATGGTTCAATGCGTAAAAGCAAGCAAAGTTGCTAGTGGCGCTAGCAACTGCATCGTTGCCTCTCTAATTTACCATGGAAGATTGGAGTAATAAAAATTGTACTCACATATTTCAATCCTCGTAGCTTCTGATGATTCTATGACGTCTTCTCATCAGTCACGAGCAGTGGGATGTGTTACTTTATTGATAGAAAGTTCACAGTCTTCAACTGGAGCACTAGAGAATCTAACCTCAAAATGTTGCACTTCTTCGTTCGTATTTGTTACGCGTTGGGACGTTCGTTGATATCGCGTTGCATGCCGTTGTAATTGAAGCAACTGACGCTTTTTAATATCGATATTAGACGAAAGTAAACATTTTGATTACAAGAGACTCCGAACGATGAACCAAAACACAATAAACGAAACAGCTGATAGGAAAAGCGACGCAGCTCGGTAAACGATGAACTATCGCCATCTAGGATCGAAGGATGGAAACTGAAAGCAACGCACAATGTTACCCTACAAAACGAACATAATTATTTTATTTTTAACTGTACTCATTTCCTCATATATATATACATGTTTTAAAATAAATGGGAAACGCGAGAAAGTCACAATATTTATCATATAAATATAAGATTGCTGATTAGGTCACTGACAGCAATATTAATTTCTTTACCGCCTTTTGTTACCACAGGATGTCGTTGTACATACTGAAAATTGGAATGTTGCATGCGCAATGATAGGCAACGAGAAACGAGCAGGGAACGTTCTGAGAAGGAACTGCAAGGAACGAGCGCGATCGATTTTACGTTAAAATGGTACCGTTCGCGTCTTGATACTTCCGTCGAAAAATGTTAATATTAGACTCTAATCGTTTCGATGCATTGACCTGTCTTTTCGTCGAATTCGACGACGTGTATTCGTCTCAGTATGGTTTTTGGTATACAACAACGGGTGAAAGAATTAGAAAAAAATAGACACGTTCGTTGCGTATATCAATAGAACAACGTTTTGCACTTTAGCCTATTAGGAGTATCAAACTCGTTCCCTATGACGTAAATAATAATCTAGCTTATATCACAATGAGTAAAGCACGAGTAGGGTCGGAGTATATTCCGCTAGTGGAAGACGAGATGTCTAAAGCGCGGGTTGTTTTGCCTTTCGCTAAGCTAGCATGGTTCACCGTCTCTGTACCATTCCTAGCGTTTACTTTCTGCGTAATTTGGTCCATCGTATACAATTTTGAGCACTCTACTTCCACGCATTGCAAGGTATGTTGACAATCCTGAAGTACTTTTTTGTTTTTTACAATGAGATTTTGCAATGGTTATGTCTCTTACTTGCAGACTATCTGTTGAATTATTTCTTTATTCTCCCAATAAATAACAAAATTATGTATATGTATATAGTAACACATTTGGATATTACACCACGAAAGGCTAATGTAACGATAAGAATTTTGTACTAGGTATATAATTTTTTACCATCTGTCTCGGCAGCAATTGGACATTATAAACCGCAAAGAGATATATGGAAAATAGCGATTGCTATGCAAGCAATAATAAGAAGTTTAATATTAGTAATGTATTATCGTTATTACAAGGAACATATCTATAAATGGGCACAAACTATATGTAATATTGCAGTAATCACATATGCCATTGAGAACATATCTCTTGTTACCTTAAGCTTCTGGACTTCAGATGAAAATTATGGTATGTATATAGATTAGCTGAGAAATTAGTTATACGGAGTAACATGCATTTGTCTTACAGCCTTCCATAAATTATCTTTTATAATGTTTCTGATAATGTCTTTTATTCATATGCTTGTGGCATATTATATTATGAAAAATTGTCGTAACACTACAAGGGAATCATCAGAGAATGTTTCAATGAAATGGAAGCGGAGATCATTGGTGCTAAATGTGATGTCTATATTGTTTGCATGTTATTTTTTCTATAGGCATAACAAATATTGCGAACCTCTAGGTGAGTAACAATTGTGTGAGAAGAAAAAAGAAACTAATTGAAAAATTAATATTTTTAATTGCAGTCTACTCTATGTTTGCATTAAGCGAATATGGAGTTGTCCTTTCTAATATGGGATTTCATTCTACAGCAGCTTGGGATTTTGCAAATTCCCATCTGATGATATCAGGAACAAGGTTTAGAATAATTTGAAATGACATTCAATGGATATTGTCACAGTTACATATCATTGAAGAATGTTTATATGCTTCCTCTTTATGTTTGCATTTGAACATTACTTATAGGGAGGAATGGATTTTATTTTATTTCTGTATACAAAAGTACAAAACACAAGTCATTAATAATGATCCATGTATAATTTTCGTCAATGCAGTTATAAATACGGAAGACTTATTTTATTCGCATTGTACAAGATCACAATGAAAAATTTTAATTACTTTAATTCGATTACATATATACAAATTAATCTAATCAAAGTATTTTTTAAACATTTATGATTGACTTGAATGTAAATGCATGTACATACAATACATACATATATATGTATATATATATATATATACATATATTACTTGAAAATAATAAATTAGCCTACTACGGTATCAATAAGATATAAAGCTTCTATATTATTTTCAAATAGGTATTTCTCGCGAGTATAAAATTTAGTATAATTTCATTGTTCCCGTTTATTACTTCGTTTATCAAAGCTTGAAATCAGTCTCCAATTTATCTGCAATGAATTTAGCGATTGCCATGCTACTAGTAGCAGCAGGAGAAGGTGCGTTTCGACAGTGAATCACTCTACTACCGATAGTACCTTTTCCTACATCAAAAACAAAATCGTCGACTAATTTCCCATTGTTATCCAAGGCCTGTGCTCGAACTCCCGCCGGACCCCTGAACAATTAACAATAAGGATAAAATGTGAAATTATGATAAGAAATCGTGAATGTACTCTACGGAATTTACCTTTTTATATCCCTGAAGGTTACTTCGGGAATAAACTTTCTTAGGTCTCTAGCCACGAGTGGATAGAAAATCGATTTAATAATTTCTTTGCATCCCGGTACGAAGTATCGGAAGCAAAGTTTGTATAGTCCTGGAAATTTCGCCATTTCTATACAATCTTTAACGTTTATGTCGAACCATCTAAAAATGAAAAGTCATCGAATATATGTTCGAGTATTAGACGTATAGGTTAGCGACCGCTCTATTTATAGCATACCGATAACCTTCTCTGGCAAAAGCTAAAACGGCATTCGGACCGAGCCATATTTCGCCGTTCATCCTAGGCGTGAAATGAACACCTAAAAAGGGAAATCGGGGATCTGGGACAGGATATATGTTGGTTGTACACAAATGTCTTTTCTTTTCGTGTAGTAACAGGTATTCGCCACGGAACGGAACGATTCGTGGGCTTAGGTCGCATCCTGTCATGACGGCCAAACGATCCGAATGTAACCCAGCACACGTTAGGACGTACTTTGTTGGTATACACTGTCAATACATACGACGATTAACAACAAAATGTTCATTCATGTCTGTGAGAAAAAAAAACTCACTTTGTTTTTCGATTGTACTGAAATGGGAGCCAATTCGTTCCCTCCTTTCGATTCTCCCATTTCCGAGAATCCGGTTACTTCGCAGTTTAGGAATATTTGGCCGCCCATCTTTTGAAAATCTTGAGCAAAGTGCTTGCATACTAATGCCCAATCAACTATACCTGTCCACGGTGACCAAATAGCCTTTTCCCCCTGTACAATACACACATATATTATTCCGTTCGCAAGAGATTCTATTTGTAAGAGACAACGTTGATTTCAGTACTCGACATTTAGGCTCGTAATTCGCTATACACTCTTTTTCGACCAGCTGAAGATCTGGTACGTTGTTCTTCAGTCCTCGGTCGTACAGGTCGTCTATTTGTTTAACTTGTACCGGATTTTGCGCTACTATGAGTTTCCCAACCTTGTTGTGGGGTATGTCGTGTTCGCAGAAGTATTCGTAGGACAGTTTTAAACCTTCCACGCATAGTTTTGCCTGCAATCATTTCCTGCCGGATCAAGAATCTCTTAACGAAGCGTTGTTCTATTATCCAGCTTAATACGCTCCACATTACTTAAACTAATTTTCGTTGTCTCGAGGAAATATAGCGTTAAAAAGTATAGAATTATTGTTGTTCGTTTACTTTCATACTGCCAGGAACATAGTAAATGCCAGCGTGCACGACGCCACTGTTATGGCCTGTCTGATGCTTCGCCAATGAGTTTTCTTTCTCGACGATTGCCATTTTTAGATTAGGGTGTCTGATCATCATCTCTCGGGCAGTGGCGCAGCCAACGATGCCACCACCAACGATGATGAGGTCGAATATCCCGCAAGAATCAGGACTAAAAACGTTTCATAGGCAATTTGATGATTACAAGTGATAGTTTTAGAGAGGTGAACAACCAAGACCGTTTCAGCGCACGGCGAGCACGCAAAGTAATGGCGCCACTTGGAAACATCACTATCGCGTGGCCATGTCTTCTTGTGGCACCGATAGTTTATAGTTTGTACGCTGGGATTAAATGTTTAATAAGTCGTCTAACCTGGAAGTAGATCCATAACGACGTTCTATATGAGGAAGTTGTTGGAATATAATCCTTTTCGTCAAGGATGTACGCATGATCGTTTTCATTTTCCAATAAAGCACATGAAATTTAGAGTTGACGGGTTTCTAAAAAAGAATTACGAAAATGCATTTGTAGACAATTTTGACAGAGCGGCAATACCGCTTTGGTGATTATTTTTTCTTGAGTTAATACTTATATGTGAGATAACGCGGTAACTAATAACTAATATCACGTTAGTTCAATCGTTGGATATGTTCCGATCACCGTCGCGTAACTGTTCCTTTTCTGGGCGATTTTACAAAATTACACACGCCTTGGTACGAGTAGGCATACACACGTGTAATTATATTTCCAATGCAATTAGTGCTCGCTATCAGTTATAATATACCAGAGCTCTCGCGTAAAACACGTACAATGCGATAAACGGGTACACGTGTCATAATTTAATCATTTACGAGACACGGATATAAAACCAAGACAATTTTGTACGCATGACTCAAAAGAAATAATTCATAATTATCCGCTTAAATAAACATTGTGAATGAATCATCGTGCAATGTTTTTATTCGACATCTATTATTCAAATAAGATCGAGCCTATTTTCGGCGGCCCTGCGCACATGCATGCAGAAAATGCTTGTTCAAAATGCAGCGAATCTTACAGACTACCATTTCTAAAAATATCAGTTTCGTGCAATGCTCGAGATATTCCATTGCATAAATTTGCAAACAGAAATTTCAATTACAACGGCACGTTTTCAATCACATTTGATGACGTTACGTAATGCTGCGTGATTTAATAATTCGTACAACAGGAATAAGAAGATCTGTTACACATTTAGCAATGGAAGGCGCGTGCGTTGGCAGACGAACACGGTTAGACGTAACATGCCACTGTTCTTACCTTCGGATACGTTTAAAAGAGGTGATCAGGAAGTCCACGTGATTTTTGCGATACTACTTTGTCCATTCATTTTCTTGCTTGACGAGTCGATGAATACTTGTGACTCGCCTATTTCCTTGTTTGGATGAGATCGCCCGATAAAATCGCTTCGTTCAGTATGTGGCGCCTCTACGTTCGTCTTCGGATATTATTAAATTCGACGGTGACGCGATACGCAAGAATGAGGTATATACACAGATTAGAACGTGGATCAATAAAGAAGATATGCACTTTTACCTACGGTTACGAATCGAAGTATTTCATGTAGGATTCACGTTTCCCCATGTATGAACAATGTGGAGGTGAAAAGCTGTCGAATGTATTAATTTTTTATAATCATGATTTAGCAGCGTAAATTGGATTCATTTTTATCTTTGTAGCTGTTACTGAATACTATAGAGAAGTTTTGCTGTCGTACAAAATTTGACCCATATTAGTTTTCTGAATGAATTACAAAATTCTGTACGTATGTGGCATATAATTTTAATTAAGTCGATACAAATCTGACGAAGTATAAAATTATAAACGACTCTCTAAGCTTCCAAAGCTATACTTCATGTTAGTACGACTTCATTAACGCATAATTATCGGGTACAATAGTTTCTTAACTATTCCTATATCTTTCCAGGCGCTAATTAAGTCTTCCACCGAATAATAATAAGTCGTCCCCGTTGGTATTTATGAAGCAGGCCCTTCATATCGGAGCTCCCAAGAGAAGCAATTAAGGATAATGAAAGTTGCAAATGGAAATTGGAGGAACAAGTAGCCGTAAATTATGTTAGTACACGGTTCTTGCATTCAATTAGACTATGTAAGATCTGGTGAAAGTGTCGCATTCTTGTAAAGCTAATTACGCGCCGATAGATAGCCCCGGTATTACCGAGTTCATTAAATAATACAGAGACATGATTAAGGAGTTACGCCGATATTAGTCAAATTAATTCAATCGCAGCATTCTTAAGTTTCGGTGAAATTCACCCAGCTTTTTAGACGCAATCGCATTAGCAGTGATACATTAGGTCTGGGACTAGAAGTCGAAAAGTAAAAAAGAACCGTATGGAATTTATTCGTGTAGTGTTTGTCATTCGTTCGGGGGGGGGGGGGGGCAAACCCCCCAGGCTCTGGCATCTTCTCTTATTCCGTAACGCATTTCTTTTTCTTTTCGTTTTTATTTTACGTTCTTGTGTCTTTTCCTGGCTGGAAGAAGTGTAGGAGGGCGCGATAGGTGGCAATAGGGTTAAGAAGAGGGTGAGCTAGAAGGATAGCCAATAGCCAGGACTGTAACCATGACGTTATCGAGTCATACCTGCACTGATTACAAATAGTTCAATGTCTCATAGTACGAATCATATTATTAGTTGCAAAGAATACAGGGTGTCACAAAAATGTTGTAACACCTTGAAAGGGGTGGTTGGGGCGGTGATTTGAAACAACTTTTTCCTTAGCGAAAATGTTGTCCGAGGCTTCGTTGAGGAGATATTAACGGAAAACGTCGACCAATCAGAGCGCGCGGATACCGATGGAGCGGCCGCGGTAGCGAAGGCTACGTGCTAGGCGGCCGCGTCCAATGTCCTTCGATACGCGACGAGTCATTTGATCGCGTACGAGCGCGACCGCTTAGCACATAGCCTTCGCTACCGCGGCCGCTCCATCGGTATCCGCGCGCTCTGATTGGTCGACGTTTTCCGTTAATATCTCCTCAACGAAGCCTCGGACAACATTTTCGCTAAGGAAAAAGTTGTTTCAAATCATCCCTTGAATCACCCCTTTCAAGGTGTTACAACATTTTTGGGACACCCTGTATAAATCTTAAGTTACAGTGATTTTGCACCTCGATAACAGTATTGAAATACTTGCTCCGAGATACTAGATAAAAATATAGCTAATAAAATGCTGAAATCGGAGAAAATACATGGGTACAAAAGAAAAGATTAGTTTGTTCTAAACACTAATGAAAATGAACACATTGGAAACTATGTTTATCGTGGTGGGGCGACGGGGAGCGTGGTCGGCCCTGAGTCACGATGCGCGCCCGCGATGCGCAGAGGTTCTACGGTGGCGAGTGTCAGTCAACCCGGTGACGTCTCACAGTGTGCGTCGTTTTCTCGGTCTCTCGTGCCGGTAATCGCAAACTTCAAACGAAACGTAGTGGAAGCTGTGTACGAACAGGTCAACATTCCGTGCATCGGCTAGCTAACAGGACACGGTCGTCGCGACATTTCGAGCATTCCTATCGAACGAATTCACGAATAGAGTCGAAGAAGGCGAATCGTAGCGTCGGTGCGTCCCTTCGAATCGGTAAAAAATGTAGACTCGGTTCTCGCGTGAATTTCGTGTGCGATGTGCGTGCAATCTACAGGTGAGAGGGATAATCGCGCGAACAAGTAAAATCCTTGGAACGAAACGACGATCTCCGCGAATGTTGCTCGTGCGAGTCGAACACGTACCGCGAAATGGTATCGTGACGAACAAATCGAGAAGACGCCATCGGGAAGACAGTTAGTTTTTCGCAAACAACCGACCTGAATCGTGCGTGTCGGTCTTTCGTTCGCATCCCCACGGAAGACTGCAGGGATCCCGAGGGATAGACACTACGAGATCGGTGTGTAACAGGGATGTTCTATTCTGAATCGGTTTTCTAGAAAATGGATCCCTTTAGAGCCATCGTCGATTCTTCGAGTCGATTAATGCCCGATTTATCGAGCCAGAAATCCGCCTTTGACCCGTCTAGTCTACCTTGAAGCATGAGTTTGGTTCTTTTCAAAATTCACGTGAGTTTACACGTTCTTTTTTCTAATTTATTTTCGTTTATCATCGGTTAAGCTACGTTCTCGGACAGCAATAGTAGGAAATCGAAACACCGTCACCGTGCATACAAATAGGGTTGGTACATCGCTTATCAAAAATAATTCGAACAGCGATGGATACCCAGTGGTTGTTTTTCAACCTAATCTCGATATTCAATTAACACATTTCGTAACATCTCCTCTATAAATTAGCAGACGTAACATCCCCCGAAGTCGCTAGCCAATCCGATATTTTACCCGCCAAATTGTATAGGACGCCATTTGCATTATCCATCGACTCTAGTAATTTCGATTGAAAAATCGATTCCAGAATCGAACGTCCCCCAAATGAGAGGCGAATCGGAGGGAGTCTGCTGCGTCGAGGCATAACGCGGAAACAAAGATCGATTGGTCGTTCGGCCATCGAATCGAGGAAACAGGATCCACGACACACGTCGGATTTGTCGCGGTTAAACGAGGCGCGAAGTGCGCGCTCGGCGTCTCTCGATCGTGACGTGAGTCGTGGTCGGTGGTTGGAGGGACTCGACGAACCGAGGATGGAGGACGAGCTGCGATGCCCTCGTTGCAAGGAGTTGTTCGTGGAGCCGGTGCTGTTGCCTTGCTGGCACGCTCTTTGTCTGTCGTGCGCGGTGAATCTTCAAGCGCCGCCAGATTCGCCGCCGGAGTCGACGACCGATTCCTCGAACGCCCCTGGATCCGATCAGGAAGCGGATAAACTCTCGATTCTGTCGGAGACCGATTCGGGGGTGGTGTGCAGCAGCACGTCGACCAGCTCGCGACCCGGTAGCTACGTCGGCACGCCCGGAAACGGAGGTTTTCCGCCGTCCGGCGGCACGCTGTGTCTTTCCTGTCCCGTCTGTCAGAAAACCGTTTACTTCGATGAGGGGGGCGCCCACAATTTGCCCAAATACAGGGCCATGCAGCACATCGTGGAGAAATTTCAAGAATCGAGGAACACGAGAATGCTGTGTCAGATGTGCGAGGGCGAGCCTCGTGACGCGACCGTCGCCTGCGAACAATGCGAGGTCAGTCGTCCACTTACGCTAATCTGTTTTCCCTTAACCTTACAGATAGTGGAATTCACCGTGTGCGCACGTCCGTACGTGTCTGTACGTTTTATTTTCTTATGCTTTTTCTCTGTTGCTCGACCTTTCCGCTCGTGAATTCTTTCGCTATTTCTCTTTGCAAAATAATTGAAAATATGTAGAAAAGTTTGATAATTCTCGGACCCGGAGGGAAAAATATTTTCGTTACCGTTGAGAATGTTTCGCTTCAAATTCAGAGATCGTTTCGACCTACATCCGAGATATTTTTTTTTACGGCCCGTGAATGTTAATGAAGCGCGTAGCAACTTGTTTATAGTACCGAGAAACCCGAGGAGAGTAACGTGTTTACGTTTTTTCGATAAACACGGGCCGATGTCAGACCGCGCGGGCAACGTTTAAGCGTTCCCGATGGATTTTCTGTTTTTCGTTGGTTTCGTGGCGTGTTTTGTAATTGGCTTCGGTACACAGGACGGTCGTTGTTTTCTCGCCTCTTATACCCATGAGAGTGATCCGCGATCGACGAGGTCACGTGACCGTGGAACGTTAAGCCATCTGTTCTCTCACGGACTTGACAAATGACTCGTTTTTATCGTTATATACGTTTCGTGTTCTACAGGAAAATTGATGGAACCGTGTACAATGGAGTATCGCTGTATATACGCCGGGGAAACCTATACGACAGTGTCCTTTCTCGTCCTTTCATTATCCTTGGGCTCTATCAACGTTTTCCTGTCCGGGATATTATCCTCGAGGC